TAATAAAATGAATTACAACCAACCTTGGAGTATCATTTAGAAAGAGCATGAGATGAGTTTCCGATTAGTATATAACACTTCATATTAGAGTGACATATTATTGGAATAAAATAAGTATGAAATACAAGCAAGCAAAATCCTGCATTTCTTTTGCAACGACCTAATATAATAGTCTACTTGAGAGTGTCGAAGTATTCGGCACATCTTCATCATGGTATCAGGCGACTCTGGGATAACCGCATGTAACTGATGTTCGTGCCATACAAAAAGGGTATCTAAGAAAACGCGTTAGTACCCAGCTGCCCCCGGGGAAAAACGGTGGCGGCTTTGGTTGGAGTGTCATACGGTAAGATACCATATGCCACCACCTAGCGTACCATCTTACCGCATGAAACTTAAACTAAAGGTGCTCACCCGGGCAAAATTTCAACTGGCGTGGATTTCGATGAGATTGGCAGCAAATAGTGTACAGCTGAAGATGTGGAGACTTCCACAGAAACAGATCGCTTACCATCGCTGAGAGTGACTTCTATTTGAAAAAGGCTGATTCCTTTTGCGAGAATTCCTTCACTAGCAACCAAAGCGCGCCCTAATCCTCGCCGCTTCAACTCAGACAACAAAGAACCTTCTCCTCCACGATCGATCAGATGAGCTGTAACATTTGTGGTACAGTCAAACGCCTTGATCACTCTACCCTCTACCTCTTTTCTTGATAAAATTCACAATGGTGCAGAGAGCACAATAAAATTTACAGGTGTGCGAAGATGAACTGGTCATTTATTACGACCGTTGTGCAGTCTCAAAGACGGCCCGTGATCAGACATAGAATTTTAGAATATGGCGTTTGAAGGATGGAGTGGTCCGGGACGAACCCTTATACCAGTTTCGCGCCAAAAATTGTGAGGGGCGAGCGCAACATAAATTCAGTGCCTTTACCTCAGTGACACCGAGTCAAGGCCCACCTCTCAGTGAAAAGCGAGCTGCAGAGCGAAAAATAGGAAGAACACTTGTATGGCCATAGAAATTTCGAGGACTCAGCTGTGCGGATAACGTGCAGTGTTGTAGATGGAGTGTATTGGGCACGTAACTTGGATCGGGAAGAGGTTCTATCCTAGGCAATCGGTATGTTTTTTCCTGCTTTTTCATTCACTATCGAGTTACTTAGGACATTTTCAATATGCAAACCCCAGTCCACTATGGGTGATGGCCAATGATAGCCGGCTTCGCCTTCAAAGATAGACTCCGCAGTTAGCCGACGAGCAGAACTCCCTTGTAGGATAAAGTGGCTCGTTCGGCGACCTTAGGATGCTCCCCTTTAGTCGAGTGAGGTCGGGAGAGTCGAGGGTACAGTGAGCTCGATAAGATGTTCTGTCACGAGGAAATCTCCACCCTCGCAATCGCCACCCAGCTTCATCGATTCATTTTACCATTGCCACATAGCGGTGAGCTTTCGATTGGTTGTGCACTCTGCTTCTTTTTTCCATATCACTCTATGATGGGATCGGGGAGACGCAGCGGATTTTGGGGCGTATCAGCAGGTGGGGTCTCACTCAGCCGTCCTCCAACAATTACTGTCGCCTAATTCGCTCTACCAGTTGAGAAGGTGGAGAATCGGTTGGTGTGACACCAAATCCAGGTTCACTGGCAGGTCCCAGTATGCGCGGCGAACAGACTGCACAACCTTTTTACCAGCGTTGGTCAACGCACAACATGTCCTATTTGCAGGATTCCAATGAACTGTTGCGTAACTTAATGGAGCGGATTAGAATTTAGAAGAGATCTTCCATCATCATGCTTGTGAGCTTTACAACTGATCAACTGCAAGCGGCCGATAAAGTACAGATTAACAGAAAAACAAGCATTGCCAAGATCTCAGAAGTGCACTATACTGACTCACAAATGTATGCCGCAGGGGACGACTTATACTCATCCCGTAGGTCGGGAATCGGAAACAACATAGTCAACTTCCGAACATCTGCGACAGCTACGATCTGTTGAAATAAAAAAAAATCTATTTGTCAATGGGAAGCATTGTTTGTTAATGATAACTTGACTGTTTTAAACGCTAGTCCCTACGCTAACGCGATTCCGAATGCTTATCACCAAGACATGATTGAGTTTGCTCTTTAAAACGCTGGTTGTAATTCATATTTATAGTATGCGACTCTCTCTCACCCTCCTACAGTTCTTCATACGGCCGCATCTTTTATGGCCGCAGCACCCCTAAAATCTCTTGTTCATACACTCACACGTTTAATTTGGTGAGCCGTCAGCACTAATCGATGTGATATCAGGGCGAACTGGAAAACGAACAAAAGCCGACGTCAAGACAACTATCAACAAGAATCGACCGTGGCCGCTGTTAAAAGTCCGTATACGGCCGCTTAAACAAGCCTCACTGATATCTTGACAATATTTACGCGAAACAGCTTCAAAAACATCTAAAGCCTTCGGCCTCGCGGTTTCATGCCGATATCACATCGATTACGGCTGACCAGGTCACCAAGTTAAACGTGTGAGTGCTGATAGGCTACGGCATAAAAGCCGTTAAGCTAAGAGCGTAAAAGCGGCCCTCGTGGCGTAACGGGTAGCGCACCCGCCCGGAAAGCGTGAGGTGCGGGTTCGACTCCCGCCTGGGGCACGATTTTTGCCCACAACTCAGCATTCTTGTGATAACATTGTCAATAAGTCTGAAAGCAGTAATACTTGATCTGTGAACGAGCACTATATGGGATCGAAAGCAAAGTACACAATAATCGTATGGGTAGGGACATAGAGCTGCAGTGAATTATCTATCGTTGGTTCGCCCTCCTTCTCAATGTGTTAAGAAAAAAACATTGAAGAGTTAAGAGCAACCGATGGATGTCTCCGTCCGAAGATTAGCTTGGAATGTTTTCGAGCCAAGATCGAGGTACTTTTGAAATCAATGTGCCTTCCTATGTACATAGTAGCATATTGACTGGCTACCTTGTACAAATTCCAAAGAGAAACGTGAAGTATGAACTCGATTTTGATTTTTTCTTCAAATTAGCTCTGAAAACTTCTCTAAGTGTTCTGCTCGTAGAGCATCTTTTTTTGTTGTTTGCTTCAAATCTTTCATCAGTTATTATCGTCCATCTGTTGCTGTTTATGGTTACATCCTTTGGACCTTCGTAATCAGCTATTTTAGAGGTCCAAAAGTGAACACTGGCTTTGAACCTTGTGCAACCTGCCTAGAAACTGCGCACGCGGCGATCGCGACATCCAGCGCTTATCTACCGGACTTTAGGGTACTGGGAAAGTACCCACACAGCGTACAGCATCGTGATGGGGGTGAAATGGTAATGTTGGTACAACCCCTCCCTAGCAAAGCGGAGATGACCAGAGTGTCGTACGTTAACGCCGGCGCCAAGAATAAATGTCATATTTGTAGGTAGGATAATGTGCGCAAGTTTTAATCGTTTTCGTGATTCAGGGTATTTCAGCGCTGGCCCCTATAGGCAGCGTCATACTTCGCGACAGCAGCGGCGATCACGGCGACTTCGGCGATCGCCGCGATCGTAGGTACATGGCAGCGTGCCCCAACGATATTACGTGCGCTCCGAAGGCTTTTGAGGATGAGCGACTCAATTTCATGCTTTTTTTTCCTTTAACTACACTTTCTCAGGTGCTGAAGCTTGGTTTGACTCAAGGAAAGGTGAACCCAGCTCAATTGCTTTTGATTTCTATTTTCTTTCTTGACTCAGGATAGAAATGAGCAAAAAGCGTGATAGCTTCATTTAGGTAGGTTTTTATTGTTTCTTTTTTCATTCTTCGAGCTTATACATGAGGTTATTAAGTTCTCACCTGTTGATGTTGCGTAAAATGATTAGTGTTTCGGTGTTTCTTTTTTCTTCGCTCTTTGATTTCGACTTGTAAACTATAAATGTTTTGGAAGTTGGAACGTTCAGACGACAGCAGCTTTCGAAGCGCTTGAATAAATTGAAACAGTAAAAACAACAAAAAACAAAAAGAAGCTCACCCAGGGAAGAGAGTTGGCCTCACCCGACCTAAAAAGAAGTGAAACCTTCTTACCTCATATTCCAGATCTGCTTATGCATAGAAAGTCGTAATTTATCAGTTAGTAGCTATTATTAGGAGTAAAGAAGGTCTTACAAGCTGGATACTATTATTTATCAGGCGAGCGGTCGATAATAGCGTTGGAGCGCGCTGCCATGCACCGACGGTCGCGGCGATCGCCGAGATCGTCGAGGTCGCCGCGATCGCCGGCGCTGTCGCGAAGTATGAGCGCTGTCATAGCGCGGCGTCAAAATACGCCAGTTTTCTGGTATTTTCTCCGTTGTGATCCTGTCGTGATCATGGGGGGGGGTCATTCACACAAGTCCTTGGCTTGAACAGACGGTGGGCTTCATACAGGGCCTTTTGTAGAAGGAATAACAGTGCCAAAATTCCAAAGATTTCTACTTTCCAGCAAATTTTCATTTTATCCCTAGGCCTGCTATTTGAAAAAATCCCCCTTGTCATCACAATGCGACCGCTGCCGGACGACACGAAAAACCAACCCTTACGACGCCATAAAACTTCCAGTTGGGCTAAAGACTTCGGTACGCTTCCGAAACGCATGTTTTCGCCAAGGATGTCAGGAAATAGTTGATTGGAGGCCAACTGGCATCATCTATGGAATGCGCCATGCATAGCGCTTTCACGCAGAGGTACTAGGAAGGTGCAGCTTCTAGAAAGGGCTTCTTCCTGCGAGGTGAGGTTCTTCACATTGATAAGTCTTTCATTTTTGAAGCTGAACGACATCTCGTTATCGCTGCACCCTCACTCCATATTATCTTATTATCCTCGGCGGAGGAGGGGGGGGGCTCACGACCCCCCCTCCTCCGCCGAGGATAATAAGACCCCCTGTTGTAATCATCATAACGATGGCGTGCTCTGTTGCCAACGTTGCCAGGAGCGCCCCAACGCCTCATGAGAAATCCTTTGTAGGGACGAAATGAAAGCATGCAGAAAAGTTATTAGAATCCACTCACCTCAATACGTTTACGCAGTTGCTCTTCGCCGTATGGACTTTCCCACTCTTTTCGTTCCACACCCTTGTTTTCAATCGCTCCAAAGCCCAAATCTGCCACGAGCGACTCCATGACATCCAGTGGTTCCGAGTGAACAATACATAACGACATACTATGAGAAGCCAAAGATAAGATCACGTCAAGAGTATTTTGGCGGGCGGAGTGGGGCCCATCGTTCCGCTTTTCGATGTGCTCTACTCCGAAAACAGTGAAGAGGTTGGCCCATCAACGGGCAAGTAATAGGCGGCCACGCCCGTACCACCAGCATGGAGTGTGTTTCCATCTGATTTTATACGTCAGTATCAAGATAAGATGAGATTACTCACATATTAGAACTGTACCACTTTTTGTGAAAATCGAGCAATGCCTTACGAGGATGAATACCTTTCTCCTGTGGATCGTCCAGTAGTGTTTTCTGGAAGGGAGCTGTACAGGGAAGTTAAGAAATGGAAAAGCTTCCATTTTCCAAGTGAATTATTCCTGAACAACCTTATTTCCTGTTCCAAATTTTCTGAAATCGTGATCTGGCTTCGAGAGATAACTGAAAGAAGCTAATGTAATGTATTAAAAGACAAGGCAACCACATTTCACGCTGATAGTGGGTCGAACTAGTGTAACCACTGGCGCTTTCTAGCACTGAGGAGGACCGCGATAATGAAGAAAGCACAACGGTACGCTCAGCTCTGCGCACACGACCAGCGTGAAGTGCGCTTTTGATAGTACAGCCGTGAAATGATGAATTTTGGTGTTGTCTCTAGTCTGTGCTACATTACGATCTTTCTTTCTTCTGTCGGTTTAACACATTCAAAGCTCTCCTGCAGAAAATTCCCTATTATGAGTACTGGTACTTACTTACCGTATCACTTGGTATACTCGCCGATCGTCGTTATTGACATTTTCTGAATATTCCGAGTCAACAGCGCGTACCTAAATAAAAGCGCTCAAAAGTAGCACGAGCTGCACGTAGGCTTTGCGTCGTGGTGGCCAGCTGCCCATGACACAGCCCGTAACCCCTAGAAGTAGTGGGTGTGGCTCCAGGATCCATTCGAACGTGAAGGTGGCCAAGCGTTGGGTACGTCTTGCCGTCCAGAGAAAATTTTAGTAAAGCCTTGGCAAGCAAATTACATGATGATAGTTGCTTGGAAGTGTTTTGCGACAAACCCAACGCAGCCACGTCTAAATGGAGTGTGCAGCTACGCCCATCCCATTTCCAGACTATGCATAAATTGCAAGCATTATGGTTGATCAGCCCTCGGATCAGCCCTCAATACGTGTTGTGTGTCAATACCGGCGCAGTCTAATATCCTACTCATTTTTCGGGGCTTTGGGAATGTTCAGAAATGGTTGTTTAATACGACCAAATAGTAATAGGCAGAACTGGTAGAGAGTTGTGCACCGAGCTCATTCGCATTGAAACGTTAGGCTGTGCAGTGACACAAGTCGACACGCACTCCAGTCTCATAGACGCAAACGCAGCCGCAGAAGGGATTCGATCGGCACTGCTCAGGAGAGCTAGGGGCAGGGCACATCGTTGGTCGGGATTCCCCAACAAGGGATTGTAAGTGGTCGCTGGGAGAAGAAGGCAGGTCGTAATGCATAAGGTAGTCAGTAACGAGCACCGCAAAGGTGACAGTGTGCTGAGTACTGTATAGCAAAACTTGCTTTGTAGAAAACCCATAGATGTAAAAACAATAGTACAAAACTGTCATTAATTGAAGTGATCCGAAGTTAACTGGAAATATTAATAAGCTGGCATCACTTCGTAAGTACGTAGATGACTAAACAGTACAACTCATACCCTGGTTCGTTGCTGACGTTAGGGCGTGTCCGCGCGACCGCTTTTGCCGCAGCGCAACCTGTTTTTTTTTCTTTAAACAGACAACGGAGCTACCATATCGTTCGTATCGAACGTTCTTCAACCCTTAATTCTTTCATCGGACTCAAAATTGGTGGAGCTGGAGCTGGCGGTGTGCCGCTTCCGTTTCGTGTCCTCTGCGCTGCGGGCGATTGGGGCGGACACGCCCCATCATCCGCAGCGGACAAACAAGTGCGTGGGTTGGCCGTGGACCTTTCTGAATTCTATGAGCGCATCCGCTCTCGTAGACATGCATTGGGTAGTACTTGCACCAACCCCACTCCCTCTACGTGGAGCTGTGCATGGTGCATCCAGAAATTAAGCTAATGGGTGCTAAAACAACTATTGCTGATTCCTAATCGACGATGAAATGCATTCTGGATGCAATCCTAGATATACGAATGCGCCCACTCTATACGGTACATTGAAAACGGGTCGTTGAGCAGCTCGGAATTTTCTTCTGAAAATCTCCATCGCGATTATCTCATCAACTCCGGGAACTTCAGGATTAATTCAAGTGGTTTTTATGAACAGGAAATCTTCTAATATTTGACATTGGCTTTGGATTTGTAAACACTTAAGTTTTGAGGAAGGTTTGGGGGGGGGGCGTATTCGAATACAACGGTCTGTAGGTTGGGTGTAGATCCACACAGCCATTCTCTCTACCAGGAATTACCGGAAAGTATTGAGGTTTCCTGGCCCGCTAAGTTAACGCGTCAGTGGTGGAAAATAGGAGATAGTTGTTATAATTTTTGCAATTTCTACCTGCTTAAAGTTGCTTATAGCTTTCCATGTTAGCTGTAGTAACACAAGTATTAGTACACCGACGTTCATCTGAACCAAATCCCCGTAAATAGAGGTAGCAGTTTTGCTGGGATCCTGTCTTGTGTCTACGGAAAGTTTGCAGTTTCAGTAGTACAGAAATTCTGTGCTCAGAGGCCAGGGATAATTTTCAACTAGGCAGTGGTTTTCTTCCACGTAGGTGCTGAAAGAGAAGGCAAATAAAAAATTCGAAAAAACAGCAAGCCTTAGAAGGGGAGGGGGTGGCATCGATTCACATTTTAGTGGGGGGGGGGTATACGGACTCGACCAAAATTCCCAATAAATGATGTGCCCTGGTTTGAGGGAAGTGAGGGCCGCCAGGGGCGCAAGTGGCGCACATCAATCCATCCGCTGAACGCTGCCTAACTAATAGATGTAGCTGATGCGCTCGACCAAAATGTGCAATGTGACCTCGCAATCAACCGGAGCCGTTTCAAGAGGCGTAGTATGAGCTCATCCATGGCGCTCCCACCACTGGTTGTTCCTTTCCATATCGACCACTAAGCGATCACCACTGGCAGAGTAAGTCAACCGCAGGTGGGATCATTTAGCCAATGGTGATCGTTGACATCGTCCCGAATGATTGCGACCCTATCATTTATAGGAGCAGTTTCACAATCATTTCTTTCAAAACTCGTCCATCTACGTTTTAAATGGTTCATACCTCTCTTTCGGTTGCACTTTCGGTGAATGTCGGAGAGAGGAAGAACTGCACAAGGCGGTCGAGTGCTTCCTAAATGGGAAAACTAGGAAATCGTTTCTCAAGTCTGTACCATCGAAAGCACACTTTTCAGCTTTAAAGTAATCATCTCAGTAGGTAGGTAACTTACTTCACCGTCAACGATGTTCGCGTCTATGCGCATAATGTTGCAACAATGCAGGTGATACAAATTATGCAATGCTCGGAATTGAAGGGGTCTTTCTCTTCCCATATCCTCTGCGCTTCCTTGAACGAGGCGCTGAATAACCCATCATCTTGCTGGGTTATTTAGCGCCTCAATCATATTTGGATCCTACTATCCATGAGTTCTCATCGCGAAATGTGCCTTTAGTTTCAAGTCCAATAATGATTCTTGCAAGTGGCAGTCGTGTGAAGGAGCGTGAATTGGACCGCAGAACAGCCTCTCCCACTAATATTAGGTTGTTCGAAAAGTCCTGCGACACTTTGACCAATTTTTCGGACTAAATTTTCAGTCACTAGAAGAATTCTCCAATCTACAAGGTAATCACCACTAAGGACTAGGACTAGTGCCCTTCTTTTGCACAGCTTCTCATTTCCATTCTTATAGAGCTACGGCAACTATGATAAGAAGAAGAGGTGGACCTCATTCTTGAGTAGACGTCGATTTTCGGAATTTTTGCCTTCTTAAGGATGCGGTAGGTATCAAAAAAGGTAGTAGTTAGAGACTGCTAACTTTGGTGAAGAAGCTGGGTATGGTCGCATTCTCAGATCATGATCCACGATCTTTTGGTGTGGCCTGATCCTAACATGCTGTCTTCGCATTGCCGAGCGGTAGAGAAAAATTGAGTATTTTTGAAGAATTTAAGCGTGACGTCATCCATATTGTGAGGTTGGTTAGAGTGGACTGTAGTCCTTACCGTTATGCTACTATTTAGAGATACCGCTCTGAAGTCCCACCAATAACCTACTGAAATCTTTATCCCATGCACATCTGCTTTTGGCTGTGCAATCTACTTTTCTGTTTGAGAGATCCTGCGACGAACATGTGCAAGATGTACGCAAGGACCACACCACTCTCTACCAACCACAAGATCTCACAAATGTTCCTCCAGTGTGTACAAGGAAAAAAAACTCAGTCGCGGTCATTCGGTATGACTTGTCAGAGGGGTTCAACTTATGAGGCATCCTTCATAAAAAATTTTTCCGATAACCGAGACTGCAGAGAAGCATGGCAGTTGTCGATTAGGTGGAGCCTAGAAAGGTTGCCAACTTACTGGTGGTTACGTTCGGCTGCGCATCAAGAAGCTTGAGTAAAGGGCCGTCATTCTGTGCTGGTGGCTGACCTATACATTGCCTACTTCCGAGTTGAATAAGTCCAGCCTGGAAGCGCTGATGCAAAAGGAACTCTCTGCTATGGCAGACGATATCCTTCCTCAAGACAACGTAAGTGTTAGCTTCCTCGACTATGGCGGAGTTGCCCTACAGGAACTCATAATATGGGATAGGTTGAGAAGTACCTCGATCTCTGAGGTAAGTTTAAGCTTTGATAGCTTCCACGGATCCATGATATACCCATTTTCAGAAACCCCAGGAGACAGTCTCCACTATTCAGAGATAAAAACACTCAAAATGATTTTTGGTCTTTTTTTAGAATAGTTCAAACAAAGTGTCGCAGAACTTTTCGAACAACCTAATAATTACAACTGGGATAAGATTATTGTTTGAAAAGCGACGGCTTGGAAGCCCTCCACG